TTTGTTCTCTGAGCTGGATGGTTTGGTCGTGGAGCTTCCATCGTTCTTCTGAACGACATCATCAGCACAAACTTCAGATAGAAGTGAAGTGTTCATTTTGCCTGAATTGGATTGAACAACTGGATAATATCGTTGGTCAGTTTTTGACGTTTAGAACTACAGTTGATAAGTGTCCATTCTGTGAGGATTGCTTTGATAATGTCAGCAATTCATAAGCATTTTTAAACAGGGGTGGATAATAACCAGGAGTGAAATCCAGAAAGCGTGTTACGTCCTATTTGTGACTCACTAACTAGATTTACCTTCATCCCACAGTTAATGTTCACCCCGAAATTAGAGCCATTCGCTTCAAACACCATCACGTTGTCTACTTAGCTAATCAGTTCAGATAGCCAACTGACTTTTGCAATGAGGAGAAATCTAATTCCTTTATATTAGTTGCTCTTTAAATCGTCCCATTATGTTTACAACTGTAATTCATCAGTCTATTTTTACTATTATCATAAAATATAGGCTAAATATGAACAAACTTCATTTCATGTAAAATGTCCTGTAGCGTTGAAAGCGTCTAACTATATGATTAAAAGAAGAATATCTCTTAGATTATTTACCAACATAAGTTAACCTAAATAAAAGCTAAGTGCACAATAACTGCCAACAATTGAAATGAAAACTAAGAGATAGAACCACATGGTTTTCAATCATTTTAAGTCGAATTAGCAATAATATAGATATAGATGGAGATTAGTAACTTGTACAAGTACGTAGTTGTATTAGATCTTTTGTTCTAGATGAAGGATGGAACTAATAACTTTTTATAAATTAAAGGGTACTTTGTTAATAACTTGTCCTATAGTATAATTGTATAACATATTTTTAACTATTCTCAATATAACAGTTAATACCTCATACTAGGCGTGTGAAAAATTTGAATATACATGGGAGAAATCTGTTCTTAAGTTTAACAAATGAAACATAACTTTCATACGATCAATATTTCATCATAATATAGAACTTTTAACTAAAGTTATTTAACATGTAATGCATCAGTGTAAAATAATAATGATGAACATTCAAATTACACTATGGATATTAGTCATAACAACTAGTCTATTGATTTCTTGTGGAATATAGGCTTGACTTTAAGCTTCAACCTACTAATAGGAATATTGTACATTGACCACTTTTATCATGGATACTAGAAAAACTGACAGAGATTTAGTTACCATCACAATTGATTGATCACTGGGTGGCGAATAATGTCATACGTGTCTAGTCCTTATTAGTGCAGATCGAATGCTATCGATCATGTTGCAATGTGGCCACCAGTCTAGGTGACTCGACATTGCGTGCACTATATATTGAGATTAGATGGTGGTTGGAGGTAGTCGACAGGAAATCCTGGACCCGAGTTTCGAGTTACTTGGCACACGTCAGCAAGGTGTACCTGTAATCTTAAGGGAACTGCTGCTCCCTGGCGTATTCAATCTCGTGTCACTCAGCTTCACAGTCAGAGACGTTAGCACTGAGCTATCCGAGTCGCGAATGACCTCCTGTAGGACTGAGATGTAATCACCATTGATTGATCACTGGGTGGCGATTAATGTCATGAGTGTCTAGTCCTTATTAGTGCAGATCGAATGCAATCGATCAGTAGTAACGTCTCAGACTGTGAAGCTGGGTGACACGAGGTCGGATCCGCCAGGAAGCACCAGTTCCCTCAAGATTACAGGTACACCTTGCTGACGTGTGCCAAGTAACACGAAACCCGGGTCCAGGATTTCCTGTCGACTACCTCCAATCACCATATAATTTAGTTACCATGTTCTATATTAATAAAAACAATAAGATCATCTTGATTGTAATAAAGAATTTATTTTTGGTCTAATTTGTCGAAATCAATTTAAACAGTAGTCAGGACAACATAGAACATTTTTATACTTAGATAATATATTATGAAAACAAAAGTCGTCCATGGAACACATGGAAGCATTGGACGGTCGTTTCGTCCCATTGTGGGACTCCTCAGCAGTGCGTATCCACGATCCCACCTCGCGGGATTCGAACTCAGGACCTATCGGTCTTGTGTGCGAACGCTTAACCTTTAGACCACTGAGCCTGTATCCAATGGTGGAGTTCGATCGCGTCTGTTGTGAGATAATAACTCACTGAAGACAATGGTTGATGTGTTGCTCAGTGGTCTATAGGTAAAGCGTTAACGCGCAAGACTGGTATGTCCTGGGTTCATACCTGTAACAGCACTGGAGACCACTGTATTCATAATCAACCTCTCTCTTCAATTACTATTATTCCTCCTACATCGACTTTCACCTTAGACTTCCTCTTTCGGCTTCCCATTCAAGTATCACCACAGCCAACGATTCTAGTGTGCAAAACACTGTCCCAGGTCTACTGAAACCTCGCTCCAAACTACACATTGGAGCCTTCAACGTACGCACCCTATGTCAAGTCGGTCAACAGGCTTCCCTGGCTAGAACCCTAGAATCTCGTACCATTGATGTATGCTGTGTCTCTGAAACACCCATACGGGATCACAGCGTGGTCATTCACTTGACCTCACCTCGACAAAACGGAGAGCCAACGAGATACACCCTCTGTGTATCTGGTGACCCGACGGCCAGCTCTCGAGGACTGACAGGATTATGCATAGCACTGAACATGAGGGCGGAACAAGCACTGTTAGAGTGGATCCCCGTCAACAGTCGTTTATGTGCTGTTCGGCTAAACGGCTCCGTAAGAACTCGGAAGGATAGGGACACACGTCGTCGCCTTTTTGTCGTTTCCGCCTACGCTCCCACCGACTGCAGCTCAGATGAAGTGAAGGATGAATTTTACAGAACGCTATCTGAACTTCTTCAGAAAGCTAAACGTTCAGACATAGTACTCGTAGCAGGTGACTTTAATGCCCAGATAGGTAGTTTAAACCAAACGGAAAGGCATTTAGGTGGATATTTTAGTATTCCGGTTCAGCGAACAGATAATGGTGATCGTCTGCTGCAACTATGCTCAAACAATCGTTTATTTTTAGCAAACACAAATTTTAAGCATAAGGAGAGACATCATCTAACATGGCGACCCCCTACACCAAACCGACGATGGACTCAAATAGACCATATTGCCATCAGTCATCGTTGGAGAGGGTCGATAGAAGATTGTCGCTCATTCTGGAGTACCTGCTTGGACTCCGACCACGCCCTAATACGGGCATGCATCTGCTTGTGCTTCACTGAACGAAAAAATGCCACACTAAAAAGACCCATTAGAA